TAATATATTCGAATTTACAATAACAATATAATAAAATATAACACAGTTTTTTTTTGAAAGTATCGAATACTAAACTGTATCAATTTGACACAATAATTGTGGATCAAAAATTGATCAAATTTTTGGTATCAAATTGATAGAATTTAGTATTCGATACTTTCGAAAAAAGTGTGAATTTAATATTGTTTACTTTGTTAATAAGTAAATAATATTCATAGTTTAAATACTTTAATAATTCACAGTTTTCTTGAAAGTATCAAATTGATACCAATCTGGATCAAAACCAAAAATTATTAAATTTATTCGATCCATATTTTTAGTATCATCGTAGCTATTTCATACTTTCGAGTTAACAATGAATTTTATTTTTAATTTTAATTTACATTTAATTTAATTTTATTTATTTTAATTAATTTAATTTTTATTAACAGTCACAGAAAATAAAATGTAGAAAAGTAAATTAAAAAATAAAATGTAAAAAAGTAATTTAAAAAATAAAAAAAAAACGTGTCAAAAAGTAAATTTAAAAATAGAAAAAATGTAAAAAATACAAAAGTGAAGTTGTAAAATTTTTCAAAGAGAAAATTTTGGACGAATTTCAACCCCCACATAATCGAGGTCGTTTGTTGCACGATGCTGGTAGTTCCTTGTTAAATTGAAAAATGGACTACTACATGCAGTGTCAGACGAACCTCGAGATTTTTCATCGATGGACAATATCCGGATGCTGTGGCAACATGTGGAGCAGATCTCTTTTTTTTGATGAGGAATGTGAAACCCCCTGTACGTATACTGAATGTATCCTGAGTGTATTCCTGTCCGGTATACCTTCAGTATACGTAACAGGAGGCTACACCGGACAACGTTGCAGACTCCATGGCAGCCTCACTTCTCTTCTTCTATATATTTAAAATAATTCTCCTCTTCTAAATATTTGGAAAAAAATTATTTTTATTTTATTTCGAGAAAAATATTACCAACTGTTTGTAATATTGTAGAAAATACATCGAATTTCACACCGATATTTTTGTATACAATAAAGAGAAATATATATTTTCAACATTTTTTTGTTTCTATCACAATTATTTATAAACTAATTTTTCTTTAATTTATTAATTTATTTCTTTTTTGCTTATTTAACTTTTGTTAATTTATTTTCCTCATTTTTTGTTTATTTAATTTTTGTTAATTTATTTTTCACATTTTTTGTTTCTATCACAATTATTTATAAACTATTTTTTAAATTTATTTATTATTTCTTTTTGTTATTTAACTTTTGTTAATTTATTTTCCTCATTTTTTGTTTATTTAACTATTGTAAATTTATTTTCCTTATTATTTTTTTATTTAACTTTCGTTTATTTATTTTCCACATTTTTTATTTATATCAGAACTATTTATAAACTATTTTTTAAATTAATTTATTATTTTTATTGGTTATTTAACTTTTGTTAATTTATTTTCCTCATTTTTTGTTTATTTGACTTTTGTTAATTTATTTTACACATTTTTTGTTTTAATCGCAATTATTTATAAACTATTTCTTTAATTAATTAATTTCTTTATTTTCTGTTTATTTCTTTTGCTAATTTTTTTTTCAAGTTGTAAGCAAATTATCAATTAATTTATTTTTTCTTTATTTATTATTTAATTTGCATTTTTAATTATTTTTTGCTTCTTTATTTTTATTTCCTTATTTTTTTAATGCTCCAATTTTTTACCAAATTTATTCTCCAGTTCATATCTTTTTTTGCGTTTGATTTAAACTAAAATTGTCTTATTCTTTGAATAATCCAAAGAAAAGATATATTTGGCTCAGAGCTAACTAGACTTTTTATTTTTTTCAAATAAATTTTATTTCGTTTAAATAAAATTTTATTTGGTTCAAGTAAAAGTTTTATTTATGTCGAATAAAATTTTTATTTAAAACAAATAAATAACCTACTTGGCTCTGAGACAAATATACGTTTATTTAATTCAAATAAAGTATCTTATTAAAGAAAATTTTTAATTTGAAGTTTTTTTTTTTTTTTTTGAACAAACGGATATAAAATTTGAAATAAATAAGAAATTAAAATTTGAAACAAAAGGATTTAGTTTTTCTGAAGTAATAAAACAAACAAATTCATTTTTTTGAAACTTGAAAATTCCAGTTGGTTCATTAAATAAAATTTAAAAATCCATGTACTTTCTTCATATTAAAATATAAAAAAACGAAAATTGTTGAAGAAAATAATGTAAATAAGTAAAAAATAAATATTAAAATTGTTGTAATTATTGTTACTTAACTTTTAGTAGTAAATGTAAACAACAAATAATGGTAAATTCAATTTTTTAACCCTTATTTCTACTTATATTTTCTTCAAATATTTTTTTTGACAGATAAAAATTGCATTTTCTCCAAAATTAATACACAAAAGTATTAACAATGTAAATTACAAATAATAGGTATTATACAAATTTATATTTAATATTATTTATTTATTTACAAAATAAAAAAATTAGTTATTGGAATTATAATTAACATTATTTATTAATATTATAAACAATAATAATTTATTATTAAACTCCGTTTATTTATTTAATAAATAAATAAATAATTATTGGATGCAATATAATAATAATAGTAATATTATTGTTATAAATATAATTATAGTAATATTATAATTTATAAATAATATTTCTATAATAATATAATATATATTATTTATTAATTTATCAACAATATTGTTACGTATTGTCCGGTTTATATTTATTTATATTATAAGTAAATAAAAAAATATTGTTTTATGTAAATAAATTAATAAATAAGTAAAAATATATTTTTTACATGTAAATAAATAAATAAAAAATACTTCTTATATTTAAGGGCATTTGAACCTTGATGACGTCACACATGCTTTGCACAAAGTGTAACGTCATCAAGGTTCAAATGCCCTTAAATAAATAAAAAGATATTGTTTGTATGTAAATAAATAAATAAAAAAATATTGTTTATATGTAAATAAATAATTTAAAAAATATTGCTTATATGTAAATAAATAAATAAAATAATATTTCTTATATGTAAATAAATAAAAATGAATAAAAAAAATAAATAAAATTAATGAAAATATTTTTATTTATTTAGCCACAAGTCGAAACTACAACTACACCTAATTACTATTAATGAAGATAATTATTATTTCATTCGTTGGAAATTTGTTGATAGTTATTATTAGAACAAGAAGAAACTATTTAAAATATAATTAAAAATATAAAACTATTTAAAAATCCATTAAAAAAAAAAAATTGAAAAGAATTTTTAGTACAAAAATGAAAAAATTCCTAAATATTGACTGAATTAATTAAATATTTGTTTTGTTAATAATTCTCATGAAACATTATATTTTATGAATATTATAAATCGTAAAAGTGAATAATAATATTACTTGTCTTCAATAGTCAGGGGGGTTGTAAATTTTGCTCTCCTCTTTATAATATGTTAAAGAATGGAAAAATATTTATAAACACCATTCGAGAAGTTCATAATAAAAAAGAGAAATGCAATTCAACACACATAGATATTTTATAAACTCCACAGGGGTTAATGCTTCAATATTTATGCAAACAAAACACTTTTTACATAAATAACAAGCCAGTAGGGAAAGGAAAAAAAAAGTATCCAAAGGGAGACAAACTACAAAAATTTAAGAGACAAGTAAAATTGCAGTCGACTTTTCAGTCTATGCAAATTTTCTATTAACTCTTTGTTCGAAAAAAAATTTTTCCCGGATTTTTTTTCTTTTTTTTTTGAGTAGTATAAGTGAGAATAAATTTTCTAGATTGAAATTCCTTTTTGGAAATTTTTTTTTTATTATTATGTATAAAAGAAAAAAAATGTGTAGTTTTAAAAATATCTGGAATTATTTTCATTGTTTATTTTTATAAATTTTTTAATTTTTATTTCTTGGATAAAAACGAGAAATTTATTTTTATTTATTGGAGACAAAAATAAAAAGTACATTTTTATTTTTTAGACAACAACAAAAAGACCTTTTTTTAAAGAAAATTTTTTATTGAGCAAACAAATTTGCAAAGTTTATTTAACAGCAAAAATATTCTTCATTTAACAGAAAAAATATGTTTCATTCAACAGAAAAAATATAAACTTTATTTATAACAGAAAAAATATTTTTTTTACAATTGCAAATATAAAATTTTATTTTTTAGACTGAAACGAGAAATTTATTTTTATTTTTTCGATAAAGAAAAAAAAATTCATTTTTAATTTTTGGACTGAAACAAAAAGGAGGTACATTTTTATTTTTTAGACAAAATTTTTTATTGAACAGAAAAATTTGCATAGTTTATTTAACAGAAAAACATATTTTTTATTTATCAGAAAAAGTCTTTTTTTATTTAACAGAGAAATAATTTTTCTAGCAGATCCAAATATAAAAAATACATTTTTTACTCGAGAAAAACAAAAAATACATTTTTATTTTTTGCATAAAAAAAATAAATTACTTTTTTTTGCGCAAGAACAGAAAAAAAATATTTTCCCTCGAAAGACGTGTAAAAAATTATACTTTGTATCAAAAAAATGGTTAAAAAATGAATTCTTATGAAATGTATTTTTCGGAAAAATCGTAAAAACGCCGAAGAGCTTGAAGGATGTGAAATAATAAGATATATAAGTGCAAAGAAGCTGAAAATGTTCCTTCGGTGGTATTTCTCTCGAGAATAACATTTTTACAAGTTTTATTGGCCGAGAGTCGGCAGGGGTTGCTCACCAGACTTTCTCCTTTAAGACAGTCGTAAAAAAGGGTTGAGAAAGATGGAAGAGCAAAGGGAAACTAAAAAGAGACGAAGAAGAGACCAAGAAAATTGTTGCCCCTGAGGGGGTCACTCGTAGGGTGAAAGGGTTTTTTTTCTTAAGACCGAAAAAAAGGTAAAAAAAAAGGATTGGTGAAAGTTTACTAGGACAATAAGGTGCAATAAAATTAGAAAACGCCAGGAGAAGGGGTAAATTTTCACTTTTTCGTGCCAACGAAAATATTTTTCAAACCGTTAGTTTGAAAACGGTGTTCGAAAACGTGCGTTCTGTTTTTCTTTTTTTTTCTCTCTCGCGAAAAGGGATTTATATTTCTAGTAAAAATTTGTTCTCTTGCTGGTTGAAGAAGATTGTTGAACAGTTATGTTTCAGGTAAGTCAATTATTTTATAGTGGGTTGTAAAAAGTTTTATGGTTAATACTCGAAGCATCACTCTTTCTATAATTTGCCTCTTGAACCTGAGTTATAGTACTTCCCGTTTCTCCTTCGCAGGCAGATCAGTTTACTATTTTATAATAGCTTTATTTCTCCCGTATTCACTGTGAATATTTACTTTCACCTTGAAAATAATCTAATTTTTATGCTTTTTTCTTTGATGAATTATCACATATATAGACAGTGAGGGAGCTTTAGTTGAGATTAAAATTTGCAATTCTGTCTACAATCGAATCTGTCGGAATGCAACTTTATTAAAAAAAGATTTTTTTTATTTAAAAATGTCCAAATTATTTTCGCTTTCCTCCAGAATATTGCAAAATAATTAATTACAAGATTAATTTATAAAACAATTTTTTACTGCAATAGAATTTTTAAAAACTCGAGTTGCATTCCGACAGGTTTGACTGTAGTTTTATTTTTTTTATTTTTAACCCTTTTCCAAATTAAAATTAAATATAAAAAAAAAATAAAAAAAAATTACAAATATTAAAAATAACTATTAAAATTAGTAATTTTTATTTTGTTATTACAATAATAATTATTATATAATATATTATTTTAATAGTATAATATTAATTAATAATTTAATTTAATTAAATTTACCACAACATTTATAATTGTAGTTTATAAAAGTGACGAGGTCCGAAGAAAGCAACGCTCTACCCAAGAAGCAAAACATTTTAAGGTTATGTTTGTGTTATATTTACCGTAATTAAACATTTCTATTTAATTGTCAAAAACTAAAATCAACTTTCATTAATTATTTTAGTTACAATGAAGAATTATATCAATTATTTGTTTTTTTAGTTGATCCTCCTTATTTATTTTCACTCAAAACGATTACAAACATAACCTCAAATTTTGTGCTTCTTAGATACTTTAGTTTTACGTCAATGAAAATAATTTTTTATTTATAAATAATATTCTGTAATAATATTAATAACTGCACTATTGTTCATTAATTAGGTAAACACCCCTTTTTTCATGAGTTAAAAACTTTTCCTACTGCTTTCCTAAAGGTTAAGGAACTTATGAAAATTTATTTAATATTTGATAATATTTACTTATTTAATATTGGAAAATATTTATTCTTTATTTAATATTCGAAAATATCAATTATTTATTTACGCATTAGTATTTGAAAACCCGGAAAAAAATATAGTTGACTCAGAAAATTCTAAATTTTTTTTTTCAAATAAATTGTATTTGGATCAAATAAATTTTAATGGTTCAAGATATATATTCGACTTAAAGCGTTTGAAATTATTTATTTGTTTCAAATAAATTTTATTCGGTACAAATAAATTTTAGATACTTGATTCAAATAAATTGTATTAGCTTCAAATAAATTGTATTTGGTTCAAAAAATTTTATTTTGTTGAAATAAATTGTATTTTGTTCAAATAAATTTTATTTTGTTCAAATAAATTTTATTTGGTCCAAATAAATTTTATTGGTTCATATATAAAAATTCAATTAGTAACGATTAAATTGTATTTAAAACAAACAAAAATAATTTTGCAGGCTGTGCCAAATATACTTTAATTTAACTTTAAAAAATTATATTTGTTGCTAGAATGTTAATATTTAATGCAAATTAACTTTATTATAGGAGATTATATCCGTTTTTTATAGAGTAAAAGAAGACGTCTTTTATTTTTCGATAAATTAAAAAATATTGTTTAAAAGTAACAAAAACCAAAACAGAAATAAGTTTATGCTTTTTTTCATTAAATTGGAGCTTTTTTTTATAAAAAAGCTTTTTCCGAAACAAGGAGGTACTCAGAATTTGATTATAATTTATTTCTGATTCAGAAAAAATTTGTGACTTGAAAAACGACAATTGTCTTGTAAATTTGTTTTTACAATTTTTGGAAATATCAAATTTGGGCTTTTTTCATAAAATTTGAGCTTTTTTTGTTAAAAATGGCTTTTTAAAAATAAACGACGCTGGTCTTGCCAATTTTCTTTTTTTTATAGGCGTTTATCAAATCAGGGCTTTTATTCATCAAAGTGAAGCTTTTTTATTAAAGAAGAGTTTTTTCAGAAACACGGAAGTACTCAGAACTTTTTTGGAATTTATTTCTGTTTCGGAAAAAAATTTGTGTCTTGAAAAACGACGCTTGTAAATTTATTTTCACAATTTTTGGAATCGAATAACTAGGCTTTTCTTCAACAAATTGAAATTTTTTTTATTAAAGAAGCGCTTTTTCCGAAACACGGAGATACCCGGAAATTTTTTATAATTTATTTCCGATTTAGAAAAAAATTTGTCTCTTGAAAAACGACAATGGTCTTGCAAATTTATTTTCATAATTTTTGGAGTCGAAAATCAAATTTAGGCTTGTCTTTATCAAATTAGAGCTTTTTTTTATTAAAGAAGCGCTTTTTCTGAAACACGGAGATACTCAAAAATTTTTTATAATTTATTTCCGATTTAGAAAAAATTTGTGTCTTGAAAAACGACGCTGGTCTTGACATTGTTTTTTTAACAATTTTAGGAGGCGTTTATCAATTTATTTTATTCTTTTTTCATCAAATTGGAGTTTTTTTTTTAATTAGAGAAGGGCTCTTTTGAAACACGGAGGTAATCAGAATTTTTTTTTAGAATTTACTTCTGATTTAAAAAACATTTATATGTTGAAAAAAAAGCTGGTCTTGACAATTTTTTTTCACAATTTTTGGAGTCGAATTTAAAATTTGGGCTTGTTTCCATCAAATTGAAGCTTTTCTTTACTATAGAAAAATATTTTCCGAATCACGGAGGTACTCAGAATTTTTTTTTTTAAATTTATTTCCGATTCAGAAAAAATTTGTATCTTGAATATAACGACGCTGATCTTGTAAATTTATTTTCACAATTTTTGAAGTCGAATATCAAATTTAGGTTTTTCTTCATCCAATTGGGGCCTTTTTAGTAAAGAAGCGCTTTTTTCGAAACACGGAGATACTCGGAAATTTTTTTTTTAATTTATTTCCGATTCAGAAAGAAATTGTATCTTGAAAAACGAAGCTTGTAAATTTTTTTCACAATTTTTGGAGTCGAATATCAAATTTGGGCTTTTTTCCATCAAATTGAAGTTTATTTTTTATTAAAGAAGCGCTTTTTCCGAAACACGGAGATACCCGGAAATTTTTTATAATTTATTTCCGATTCAGAAAAAAATTTGTCTCTTGAAAAACGACGCTTGTAAATTTATTTTCACAATTCTTGGAGTTGAATAACAAATTTAGGCTTTTCTTCATCAAATTGAAGCTTTTTTGTTAAAGAAGTGCTTTTTCCGAAATACTCTGGTATTCAGAACTTTTTTAAAATATATTTTTGATTCAGAAAAAAATTTGTGGCTTGAAAAACGACGCTAATCTTGACAATTTATTTTCACAATTTTTGAAGTCGAATATCAAATTTGGGCTTTTTTTTAACAAATTAGAGCTTTTTTTATTAAAGAACAGCTTTTTCCGAAACACGGAGGTACTCAGAATTTTTCATAATTTATTTCCGATTTTTGGAGTCAAATATCAATTTTGGGCTTTTCTTTATCAAATTGGAGGGTTTTTTTTTTTTTATTAAAGAAGAGCTTTTTCCAAAACACGGATGTACTCAGAACTTTTTTAGAATTTACTTCTCATTTAAAAAAAATTTGCATCTTGAAAAACGTCTCTGGTTTTGTTAAAATAACACTTCTTCTTTAATAATAAAATTTTTAAAAATTAGTTATTATTATTATTTATTATTATTCCAGTGATAAACCGAACAATGCCCCATTTGAAGTGAAATGAAAGAAATGGGAATTTAACAAACAATAATACGATAATAATTAAATGGTTAGGAAAAAAAAAGAATTCGCGACCACGAAAGGTCGATAAAGACGTGGCTCCTGAAGATGGCAGTGAACAATTTTTTCGTGGTCCAGAAGAGTGAGAGCAACACGCACAAGGTGGGAGGCTAGAAAGAGAGAGAGAGAGAGAGATAAAGTGAAAGAGAGAGAAAAAAGGTGAGACAGAAGGCTTTTTCACGTGATACCGAGAGAGAAAGTGAGAAAGCCAATCTTCTCCCGTGGCCAATGAGTCGTCGTCTCATTTTAGTGGCCCAACCCTCGGGAAACATGGCTGCCACGTGCAAAAGGGAGCTTAAACTAGGGTTAGGTTAAGTTAGGCTAGGTTATGTTAGACTGGTCCTTCAGGACGGTGGCTTTTGTGAGAGAGTTGAATGGGGAGGGGTTCCCCGTCAGCCATCATGGGATGCTGTGCTGCTGCTCCAAAGCTACGACGGAAATGCATCTCAAACCTCGAGAGTTTCGAGATTTCCTACTCTCTCTCTCTCTCTTTTTCTCTCTTTTTCTCTTTCTCTCTCTTTCATTCTTAAAACACCCACGAGAAGAATTCCCAAAAGAGATTTCTACTCTCAAATACTCTTAAATGTAATATAAACACACGAGATTCTCTGCATTGCAGATAAGTGAAGTTTTCCTCTATTTGTCAATTGTCCTCTTTGTGATTTTAAAGAGCGGGGGATTTTTAGATGAAATTTATTTTTGTTTTGATTATTTAATTTTGTGTTGATTTTCTACTATACTAAGAAGCACGAGGTCGATTTGTTTACTATTTTGTTTGTTTACGTTTTGATTTTCTACTACTAAGAAGCACGAGGTCCATTTGTTTACTATTTTGTTTGTTTACGTTTTGATTTTCTACTACTAAGAAGCACGAGGTCCATTTGTTTACTATTTTGTTTGTTTACGTTTTACCATTTTATTTTCTCTCCGTTTCTTCCTGGAAATTAATTTTCCATTCTGTCCATTCATGTTTCTGCTTGCTAATTCCTTTGCTACTTATTTATTATTATTTATTTTAATTATTTATTAATTATTTATTAATTATTTATTATTTCTTTTCTCACAAATTGTTTGTTAATTGCCAACAAAAAAGGAACG